AGCATGGGGTATTTTTCGTAGATATCCTACTCTGCGAAACCTCATAGCTTTTAAAAGAGCCAAAGCAAATGCACGAAAAGTAAGAAGGCAGAGCCAGAGGGATTCCTGGATTTCATATGTGTCCTCAATAACATCCTCTACGCCTAGTAAGCGGGTTTGGGAAAGAGTTCGAAAAGCATGCGGAATGTATAAAGACCACTCACTTTCCTTTCTGGAAAAAGATGGCCGAGTGATTAGCTCCATAGAAGAAATTGCAAATACTATTGGTGAGACATTTGCTGCCGTTTCTTCCAGCAGAAACTATTCACCTGCATTTCTTTCTATCAAGCAACACTCTGAAATAAATCCCATCGCATTCAACTCTTCCAAATCTTTGAGCCGTACAATAGAGACTTTACTATGGTTGAATTAAAGAGAGCTTTGTTGCAGACACATAGGTCTTGTCTCCGGGTCTGGATGGCGTGTAATTATGAAATGCTAAAGCATCTGTCCTATAAGTCACTGAGTGCCCTTCTCACACTTTACAATAGAGTGTGGAAGGAGCGTACATTTCCCAGTGCATGGAGGAGAGCTGTTGTCATTCCTATTGCGAAGCCAGGGAAAGACCCGAGGAATCCCTCGAACTATCGGCCAATTGCCCTTACCAGTTGTGTTTGCAAACTGTTTGAAAAGATGGTAAACAGCCGCCTAGTCTACTTCTTGGAAAAGAATAATATTATATCGCCTTATCAAAGTGGTTTTCGAAAGGGGAGAACAACCGTAGATAACATGCTCCTCTTAGAGACATCTATTCGAAAAGCATTTGTAAGAAGAAGCCACCTTGTCTCGATATTCTTCGACATTGAGAAAGCTTATGATAAGGCATGGAGATACGGTATACTCCGGGATCTTCACGAGAGTGGCTTGCGCGGCAACCTACCAATTTTCATTCAGAATTTCTTGAACACTAGAACTTTTCAAGTAAGAATTGGCTCTGTTTTTTCGGATGTTTTTGAACAGGAAGAGGGTGTGCCTCAAGGCTGTGTGCTCAGTGTAACCCTGTTTAGTTTAAAAATAAATTCTGTACTAAAAGAACTTCCTCCCACCATCTTGGGATCTCTATATGTTGATGATCTGCAGATTAGCTGTCGAGGAGCAGACATGAGATATGTAGAGAGGCAACTTGCAGATGGCTCTGAATAAGATCCAAGAATGGTCAGACAAACAGGGATTTACTTTTTCGAAACAGAAAACTGTGTGCGTGCACTTTTGTAGGAAGCGAGGTCTCCATCCTGAACCTGAGTTATATCTGAATGGTACAATTATTCCAGTTGCGCCTGAAGTAAAATTTTTAGGAGTGACGTTCGACCGAAAATTGACTTTCCTTTCTCATGTTTTAAACCTGAGAAAGAAGTGTCTAAAAACACTAAATATTTTAAAAGTGTTGGCGAACACCTCCTGGGGTGCAGAGCGTTGCTCCATGCTTCGCATTTACAGAGCGCTTATTCCGCTCTAGAACTGGACTATGGCTCAGTTGTTTATGGATCCGCTCGGTCATCTGTTTTGTTAAAACTGGATCCTGTTCACCATCAAGGTCTGCGGATTTGTTCAGGAGCTTTCAGGACTTCTCCTGTGCAGAGCCTATATGTTGACTGTAACGAACCATCACTTTATCTGAGGCGTGAGCAATTGTCCCTTTTGCAATATTTTAATATTCTATCTCAACCTGAACATCCCAATAAGCTGTGCTTACTTGATAATGAGTGTAACACTTTATTTGAAACACGTCCATCCTGTGTTCCTACTTTCCTTTAAGAGTTCGCCCTGTCATTGAGGAACTTCCCTCTCTGATATGCACCCCCAAGCAGTACAGAATTTTGAAATTCCCACCTTGGGAAAATTCACGGATTCCAGCTTCTTGATGTTTTTAAACATCACGTGAAAGGCAAGCACTAACGAGATCGTTTACAGACAACTCTTTCGCTGAGCACAGGCACAAATATAGCAGTTATTATCCGATTATACAGATGGATCAAAGTCAAATGATCATGTCGGGATGGCTTTTGTATTTGAAGACCACATAGAGGGCAGATGCCTGCACCATGCTTTCTCTGTCCTAACATCTGAACTAACTGCAATATATTATGCTCTTTTGTACATCTCAAAGCTCTGCCACAAAAAGTTCATAGTTTATACAGACTCGTATAGTGCTCTTAAATCCTTGGAAGCTTTTCCCAACACTCAGAATCCTGTGGTAGTGGATGTTCTCAAAATTCATATAAATTTAATGATCGAGGATATGAAATCCTGTACTGCTGGGTTCCCGGGCATGTGGGAATAAAGGGAAATGAGCTTGCAGATATCGCAGCAAAATCTGCTGTTGAACTGTCCAGTCGCCGCCTCATCCCTTTTAGAGACATCTGCTGTGTTGTCATCAAGGGAAAGATACCGAAAAAAATGGCAGCAAATTTGGGATGTTCAGCATCACAACAAGTTGAGAAACATGTAAACCTAGAATTGAGCATTGGGATTTTGCTGGAAATCGTAAAGGAGGACGTTCTTTTGACTCGCCTCAGAATTGGTCACACTAGAGTCACACATAACTATCTTCTTAAAAGCTGAAAATGAGCCTGTTTGTTTTAAATTGTAATGTTTGTTTATCTGTTCGTCATATTTTAATTGAGTGTCCATGTTTTAATAGTCTTCGCCAGAAATATTTTAATAGCTGTGACTTACCTCTCGACCGTTTAATCGGAAGAGAGGTCAATTCTAATTTATTTTATTATTTAAAAGAGATTGGCTTTTATTACCAAATGTAATTTGTTTTGAAGACTGTGTCTTGAATTTTAATGTGTGCTTTTTAACTTGTTTTTTTATATGACTTCATCCTCTGGATTTGGTACATTTATCTACTTGTTTTTATTTATTGAATTTTAATGTCATCAATTGTAATCATCCCATCTTTTGTTTGGCGCGTCATAATCATCTCTGGTTTTTGCGCCATAATCTCTCACTCACTCACTCATGGAAGTTATTTCACTCGACATCCTCATCACGTACAAGAGGTCACACTAGAGTGACACATAGCTACCTTTTAAAAGCTGAAAATGAGCCTGTTTGTTTTAACTGTAATGTTTGTTTATCTGCTCATCATATTTTAATTGAGTGTGCATGTTTTAATAGGCTTCGCCAGAAATATTTTAATAGCTGTGACTTGCCTCTCGACCGTTTAATCGGAAGAGAAGTCAATTGTTTTTTGTTTTATTATTTGAAAGAGACTGGCTTTTATTACCAAATGTAATTTGTTTTGAAGACTGTGTCTTGAATTTTAATACGTGCTTTTAATTGTTTTTTATATGACTTCATCCTCTGGATTTGGTACATTTGTCTACTTGTTTATTTATTGAATTTTAATGCCATCAAGTGTAATCATCCCATCTCGTGTTTGGCGCGCTATAATCATCTTTGGTTTTTGCGCCATAATCTCTCACTCACTCAAGCACTGACATAAGTCTAAGGATTCCAAAGGGAAACAGCAAAATTTACAAGTGCCACATCTCAGCACCTTTACTAATCTTTCTATTTCCATAACCCTACAATAACCTGCATGTGGTGCCCTTAACAGTGACTACACACAGAAAAATTACAATAATAAATGACAAATATCAATGTCTGTGATGTACATATGCACAGTACACTTTCTTATGCATATGTAATTCTGTTTGAATACTAGTCATAAGGTGACTTGACATTTCATTTAGATTAAATATCCAAAAGAAATTACATAGGTTTATAGTCTAAATGTTTCAAAGAAAAAAGAATAAAAAGAAAATGCTTTTTAGTTGTATATCAGTAGCTTGTGCTCACATGGAGGGAAAGTGCAGCAATTACTTAAAATATACTGATCACTGGTTCTAATAGTTCACAATAATAACATAAAAAGCTACTTTTGCATTGGCCACCCAGCACTCACGCTAAGTTGCCAACCGTTGGCGACTACTTTTCTCCCGACCTAACAGGTGAAAAACAGTAGCCATTTAAAAAAGATTGTGGCATGCTGAAAATTACTTAAAACAGCAACAAATACACGAAACTAAAACACAAGAAACATCCATAATTAAACAGTAAAAATTATAAACAAATAAAAAAATCCATAATAAAACACTGAAAATTTCATAAACCAGTAACAAACTAACTATATTAAAAATGCAACAAACATCCATAGTAAAACACTTACCTTTCTATATTCTCAGTTCATATATCACTATGATATATTTTAACTTAACAAAGCTTTCAAAAAGCAACAGGAAATTGCATTTATTCGGAGAAAATTATTCTCACAACTAGAAACCACAAATATACCCCTCCAATTCCAAAATGGTGATCATCATGTACTCACTATTAGTAACCATTAGTGGGTTGCCACAAAAAACACATGTTTGTTCTCTATCCTGGATTGCTTACTTTGCCAACATAGTGCTCTGCCCAGTGACTATTCTCTGCTTTGGGTAGATAATGCAAAAGTACCCATAAAAATTTAGTAAAATCATATTTACTATTGGTCAAGAGATCAAATAGTAATGAGAACAGGTACATGTAAAAGTGGATAACACACCAGAATTTCACTATTGGTTGTACATGTATAGCCCTGCTGACCTAACTATGCAATTCTGTCTGTTTTGAGAACACTCTGAAGGCGGGGGGGTTCTGAGTGTCTCCCACCCCTCTTCTCTACCATCAACCTCTCAAGACAACTTTCAGCTTGCCATGTATTTTTCACTGTTCTCTTGCTGCACAGACACTATATGCTTACAAAAATTCCTGCCTTCTCCAGGATTCAAATCCAGGCCCATCGGCATGGCAGTGAGCATCACTAGCCACTGGCTGGGTGGCAATACTGAAGAACAAACGAATACAGGCACAAAACAACATACACAGAGAAAAGAAATTATAAATTCACCACTCAGTGAGAAACAGACATCAGCAACCCTTGATAAATAAAATAAAATAATTGTTCTTACTTATCTGCAGCAGATAATATAGTGTCATCCTGTTTTCTGTTTATGTGGGATAATGGTTTTTGAAGAACAGGAATCTAAAAATACAATACTTCATTAAGTAACACATATTTATAACAATTTATGTTTCCACATACGATTAAGCTTTTGCAGAATCATAATAATCAGGAAAACATTTCAATATTTAGAATTTTACTAATTATTCCCACACATTTATATATTTTGGAATTCAAAAACATAACCTATGCAAAGAATTAATTCAGTTATTGCAGCTGCTATGATACAGCAATAAGAACAATTTAAACCATTTCTGAGACTGTGAAAAAAAAAGAAAAACTTTTATGATAATTTTTTTTTTGTTTAATTTCTTTACTATTGTTGCCAATTCCTTAAACAACCAGTAACAGCAAAATTTATTGTTAAGCTACATAATTTAAGTATAGAAATTCTTATCACTGCCAAAGGATCAGAAAAATCAATTTTAAAAGATTATATTGATATTTTTAAAAATGCAAATATTGCAGAGTGTATCTTTAATGTCTACTGTACTTGGCTGTAATTAGCCATTTAACAAGGAATATACAGATAACAACAATAATGTGATATTCTACCACTGCCACTTTCAGGAGTATTTGTATGTTATAAAGACATTTTTTTAATTCCAGTCTTTATCAACAAGTTCTGGACGCTGAAACTCCAGACGACATTTATAACTCTATGTAGACTCCATTTGTTTTGTATTTCTATGAAAAAGAAGGCTGACTGGTCATCATTAGGATTTTCAAGTGTTCAATGAATAGCTAGAAATGCATGTGCAAAGAAGCCCACTTTTCAGATCCAAAGATAAGTTGAAACATGCATAAATAAATTAAAAGCTAAAACACTAAAAATGCTATGTGTGACTACATACACAAATAATATGACAAACAGACATACAGCGAATTGCAAATATTTGTGAAGCATTAGAAGGTTCACCGTTAAGACATAAGTAAACATTTCCAATTGCCATAAAACACCTACTGATTGGGTTGTCAGAAAAGTAGGGACACATTTTTACAATGAGAGGGCACTAGTTCATATTTGCAAATACTAGAGTCACTCACATCTAACTTCTTGCTAAATCATTTGACAACTGACAATTCTCTTGTTGAAGGCTGAAAACTAAATGATTTGGTTGAATTTGAAGAATTTACAATAAACTGAAAATGTATAATCAAAATTTGCATTTTCGCCATGAGTTTTACTTATATAAAGAGAAGAATAGACAGCAAGATTGTTAAAACCTACGTAAAGACTATGACGAAAATGCTCAGTACAAATGTCAGTGATAAACATTAACATTTTGATGCAGATGATTTTGATCTCAACTATGCTCCTCAGTCAGGAGCGCCAAGTGAGGTTGACGACATCAAAATAAAAAGCACCAATCGAGTCAACCCCATTATATGACATATGAAACTGCCAAAATTCTGCAACCATCATTCAGGCATATATAACTATCTGAAAAAGCTGGGATACATAGGATACATAAAGATGTCATACTTTTTCAGCTTCTGTGAAGGAACCAAATAATGGATTCAAATGTGTATTGGACACTGGGCAATTGAAACAAATACTGAAATGTTTGTTCACAGCAGTTCAAATATACAAGCCCTCAGGGGGCTCACTTTTGTGAGTACGGGTGAGGCAATCCTGAGGTACCCTAGCCCTTCAGGGGATCATCTTCTTGATGAGACGGGTGTCACGATCCTGGAGCCCCAGTGATCTATCCTTTTTTCTGTCTCCTCTCCCCTTGGCTGTAACTTTTCCCCTCCCTTCTCCCTTGTGGTTTCTCTCTTGACGAAAGGGGGGCACAAGGGGCTTTGGGGCTCGTCATAAGAGAACTAGAACAGACCTTGTCTCTAGTTTTTCGAAGTGGCGAGAAAACAGCCCACGTGTTTGCCGTGCGTGGAGACCCGTGTCACTGGAAAGGAGGGTCCTGGTAGTTGAGGGGCTGAGGTACTGTCCCCAACACACTGCTTTGGCCTCTGCTTTCAGCTAAACGGGAGGCATCTTAGTCGTCCTCACGGGTGTCAATCGGCTGGTCACTAGTCCTTGTGTCAGTGGCTTAGGGTCAAGCTCTCGGGAGTACCTGCTTTCGGGAAAGCCGACTGTGGGGCTTCAGTTTGCGTATAGGTCCGGCTAGACCCTAACACAGGAATCTGTGTTCCCTTGTTGGGCTCCATGGTGGGCGGGGCCGTCGGACCCGAATCTTTCCTTACTTCAATATGGCTAACTCACAAATTTTTCTAATCAAAGACTTCGAAGTCACTCAAGTCGCTCAAAGTTCAAATTGCAAAAAATGAACTGCAAAAAAAATACGGACAGATGAAAATGTAAATAATCCTAATAGTAGTCCCCGTTTTCTTGTTATGTCTAGTCCTTCTGGCGAGCTGCAAAAGATGTCACGTTTTGTAATAAATAAATATATTCATTCTTGTATTGGTGAGGCGAGAAATATAAAGCGTCTCCACTCCGGAGACTTGCTTATTGATACAATCCCAGCCACCCAGTCTGCTTCTTTACTTCAAATAACTAAACCTGGGCAAGGGAATGTCACTGTAACAGCACATAAGTCACTAAATTATTGTCGTGGTGTAATCTCGGAATTCGACCTTCTCTATGTTTCTGAAGAAGAGATGGCTTTCGAGCTGTCCGACCAAAATGTCTGCGGTGCTAGGCGGATCAAGATGCGTAAGGAAGGTAAGTTGATTGACACAAAACACGTGATCCTGACCTTCAACACGCCTGATCTGCCTAAGAATATTAAGGCCGGATACTTAAATTTTCCTGCAAGACCTTATATTCCCAACCCTATGCGATGCTTCCAATGTCAGCGTTTCGGCCATTCTAAGACGTCTTGCCGTGGCAGCCAGACATGCGATCGATGCTCACAGATTGGCCACGATTCTGAAAATTGTACCGCTGCGCCTCTTTGTATAAACTGCAAGGGTGAGCACACAGCATTTTCACGCCTGTGCCCAAAATGGAAATTGAAAAAAAAGTGCAGACTACCAAGGTTACGAGGAACATCTCATACGCCGAAGCCAGCAGGTTAGTCCAAAGCACACACCTACGACCAAATACATCTTACGCCAATGCTCTTAAAAGATCTCGTACAGTTGCCACCCAAACCTCAGTTGGTATGCAGACTCCACCAAACAAAACTAAACAGACTACAACCCTCAGGGGGATCACTTTTGTGAGTACGGGTGTGGCAATCCCGAGGTACCCTAGCCCTTCAGGTGATCATCTTGATGAGACGGGTGTCACGATCCTGGAGCCCCAGTGATCTATCCTCTTTTCCGTCTCCTCTCCTCTTGGCTGGAACTTTTTCCCTTCCCTTCTCCCTCGTGGTTTCTCTCTACGGAGTTTGGGGCTCGTCACGAGAGACTGGAGCATCCCTTGCATTCTAGTTTTTGAGTGGCGAGAAAACTGCCCACGTGTTTGCCGTGCGTGGAGACCCGTGTCGCTGGAAAGGAGGGTCCTGGTAGTTGAGGGGCGAGGTACTGTCCCCAACACACTGCTTTGGCCTCTGCTTCAGCTAAACGGGAGGCACCTTAGTCGTCCTCACGGGTGTCAATCGGCTGGTCACTAGTCCTTGTGCCAGTGGCTTGGGGTCAAGCTCTCGGGAGTACCTGCTTTTCGGGAAAGCCGACTGTGGGGCTTCAGTTTGCGTATAGGTCCGGCTAGCCCTAACACAGGAATCTGTGTTCCCTTGTTGGGCTCCGTGGTGGGCGGGGCCGTCGGACCCGAATCTTTATTCTTTTTCACTATGGCTTCTCATATGACTTAATTAAAAGATTTCGAGGTAACTCCAGTCACTCAAGTCATTCCTGAAATCAACCTAGTTCTGAAAATTCTAACAAGCTAAACCAGTCACTCAAATGCCTAAAGTTCTGAAACTTCTACTGACAAAACCAGTCACTCAACCTAGTTCTGAAACATCTACTGCTAAACCAGTCACTCAACCTAGTTCTGAAACGTCTACTGCTAAACCAGTCACTCAACCTAGTTCTGAAAAGTCTACTGCAAAAAAATTACGTACAGATTCAAATAAAAAAAATCATAACAATAGTCCCCGTTTCCTAGTCATCTCTAGTCCTTCTGGCGAAATGCATAAGATGTCTCCTTTCGTAATAAACAAATATATCCTATCTTGTATTGGTGAGCCGAGAAATATAAAGCGTCTCCGCTCCGGAGACTTGCTTATTGATACAAACTCAGCCACCCAGTCTGCTTCTTTACTTCAGATAACTAAACTTGGGCAAGCGAATGTCACTGTAACACCACATAAGTCACTCAACTATTGTCGGGGATTAATCTCAGAATTCGACCTTCTGTACGTTTCTGAAGAAGAGATCGCTTCTGAGCTATCCGACCAAAATGTCTGCGGTGTAAGGCGGATCAAGATGCGTAAGAAAGGTTAAGTTGATAGACACAAAACACGTGATCCTTACCTTCAACACGCCTGATCTGCCTAAGAATATTAAGGCCGGATATCTAAATATTCCTGTAAGACCTTATATTCCGAAACCTATGCGATGTTTCCAATGCCAGCGTTTCGGCCATTCTAAGACGTCTTGTCGTGGCAACCTCACATGCGCCCGATGCTCACAGATTGGCCATGATTCTGAAAATTGTACAGCTGCGCCTCTTTGTATAAATTGCAAGGGTGAGCCACCCAGCATTTTTCACGCCTTGTGCCCAAAATGGAAATCAGAAAAAGAAGTGCAGACTGCAAAAGTTAACTAGGAAACATCTCAATATGCTGAAGCCAGGAAGATTAGTCAAGAGCACACAGCTTCGACCAAATACATCATTATGCCAGTGCCCTGTAAAACATCTCGTACAGTTGCCACCCAAACATTCAATTGGCACACAGGCTCTACCAAATAAAACCCCAACCAATCTACAAACAACAAGAAAAAAGAAAATGCCTAACTCATATTAGCCCCCCTTCCCCAAAAAAAGAAACAGTCATTCAAAATAAACGCAAAAATGCCACTACAGAAAATAATCCAATAAAAATAGAAGT